ACAATGACCACTTCACTGTACTAGGCAATGGGGGAAGTAGAAGTGAGTTGAGTGAGGAGGTGTGCTGTGTGGCCATCACATTCAAAATGACTTGGCAAGTAGAGTTACAGATCTGCATCATAGTTTGCATTAAGTTTGAACATTCCTCCTCGGAGACTATTGGGATAATTCAGAAGGTTGCAGGTATGGGCAACTTATGAGAGTGATTGGCAGCTTCATCACAATAATGCTTTAGCTCAGCCATCACATCTAGTGCAGTTTATTTGTGAAACGTCAAATCACTCAGATGACTTAGCCTCCCTATAGCCCAGATTTGGTGCGCTGCGACTTCTGGCTTTTCCCAAAACTAAAATCACCTTTAAAAGGGAAGAAATTTTAGACCATTGATTGATAAGATGCAGGAAAGTATGACGGGGAAGCTGATGGCGACTGGGAGAACTATGTGAACTCCCAAGGTACCTACTTTGAAGGGAACTGAGTTGTTATTCTCCTCTGTACAAGGTTTCTTGTATCTTACATCTTCGGTAAATATTTGTTTTTCATATTACGTGGCTGGATACCTTCTGGACAGACCTTGCATATATCTAGAGGAACAGTTGTGTCAAGGTGCCTGTGAATGGTACTTCTTGTGTTATGTTTTAGATTAGTGATTTTTCAAACTTTTCCATCTCATGGTACACAAGATTCTGTAGCACACCAAGAAATATATTTTTTGCCCATTTGACTAGAAAATTAGGTATAATTTTGATTTATTCATACCAGTTATTATTGTGATGGCTGTTATCATTTTTTTATTTGACAATCTATGGGAAAAGAGGTCAGTACCCTGACTAAATAGTTAGGTATTGCATGTTCTAAAATTTTTTGTGGCACACCAGTTGAAAATCGCTGATTTAGATCAGCCTCATGACAAACGTTAGCCGTTGGTCCCAACTAGATATTTTAGGGAGTTTAAGCTAAACTAAAACCCTTCAGTTGGGTTATCTTGTTGAAGAGGTATGCTGGCTGTTTTTATTTCTGCTATGTATCAGTCTTTTGAAGCCTTGGGATAGTGGCTGGTAAGATGACAGATAGGTAACGAAGTGACTACTTGCATGGCTGAACCACAGAAAAGAGTAGTAGATGAAGTTACAGAATAATAATAATAAAGGGGGTTGTAGTAGAGTAATGTTAGAAGTCAAATCTGTGTACATATAGCTGGTCAAAGCAACTAGGTTCTAAAATTTTTGAGAAAATACCTCTCATATCAATGGATAGAATTACCCTGTATAAACTTTAGTTTATCTTTGAACATTTAGGACATCCAATTAAAAAAAATTCTATTCTATAGTTTTAAAGAGAGATTAGTAATAATAGTTATCCTCTGACATAAGGATTTATTTAAAATAACTATATATGATTTCACTTAATGAGGATTCTAATGAACAAAATTAATAAGCAAAATAGAAACAGACTCACAGCTTTCAGAGGGGTGGGGGTGAGAGGGCTGGGTGAAAAAGGTGAAGGGATTAAGCAAAAACACACACAAAACTCATAGACAGACAACAGTATGATCATTGCAAGAGGGAAACTGGAGTTGGAGGAGGCAGGAGATGGTTAAGGGGCCGTAAAGAGTGATGGAAAGAGACATTTCTTGGGGTGGTGAACACACACAATATACAGATCATGTGTTACAGAATGGTACTCTTTAAACCTATGTAATTTTATTAACCAATGTAATACAAATAAATTCAATAAGAAATAAATGAAAAAGAAGAAAAGAGCATTATCTTAAGTGTTGTATAGAGCAGTGGATTAGGGGTCCATTTTCTTTATTTTCTTTATCAGCAAAGAAAGAGGAAGGAGAGGAATATTTGAATTCATGCCTCCAAATTAGGCTGTATTTCTTCTCATTTATGAAATGAGATACTCAGTCTCAGAGAGGTAAGTAATTTAGTATTTTAGAGAGTTGCTAAATGTGCAATTTCAACTCATATCTATTTAGTTTTGAGGCCTGTGTTTTAAAAATCTGTTAAAGTATTATGTAGTATAATTTAGCCAAAATTGAAGATCCATTAGAGATAGGTATTATACCAATAAGCTTGGATGGTTTGAAAGAACACAAAAATAAGACATGATATATACTAGAAGTTTCCCACTTCTTGTTTCTAATTGGAGGACTGGCTAGTAGCACCTCTAAGATTGTCAGCTATATAAGATTGTGTTTTAGTCTTAAGGGAAGCACAGAGAATATATACACTCATAAATGAACGGACTGAGTGATGTGGAAACATTGGTAGAACAGATTGAAAAAGAGGCATCTGCAGTAAAAATATTTTTTTGCCTTTTAAACGAACATCTTGACTTGGTAAATAAATATTATACTATAATGTTAGAAAGTTCAAAGCATGCATAATTTCATAAATAACAAAATAGCAGTAATTCTAAGAGAAAACATTTTAATTGTTAAATACATACTGTTTTAAAATATATTTTATTGATTATGCTATTACAATTGTCCCATTTTTTTCTCTCCTTTATGCCCCTTCCACCAGCATTTTCACCCCCCACCCCTTAGATCATGTCCATGCATCATACATATAAGTTCTTTGGCTTCTCTTACAGTGTTCTTAACCTCCCCCTCTCTATTTTGTATTACCATTTATGCTGCTGCTCCCCTGTACCTTTTTCCCCATTCTTCCTAATCCTCCTCCCCACTGATAACCCTCCATGTGATTTCCATTTCTGTGATTCTGTTCCGGTTCTGGTCGTTTGCTTAGTTTTTTTTGTTTGTTTGTTTGTTTTTTTGTTTGTTTTTTTAAGGTTCAGTTGTTGATAGTTGTGAGTTTGTTGTAATTTTACTGTTCATAGGTCTGATCATCTTTTTTTTAGATAAGTCCCTTTAACATTTCATGTAATAAGGTCTTTGGTGGGGATGAACTCCTTTATTTTTTTTAAAGATTTTGTTTATTTATTTTTAGAGAGAGAAGGGAGGGAGAAAGAGAGAGAGAGAAACATCAATGTGTGGTTGCTGGGGGCTGTGGCCTGCAACCCAGGCATGTGCCCTGACTGGGAATCGAACCTGCGATGCTTTGGTTCACAGTCCCCACTCAATCCACTGAGCTACGCCAGCCAGGGCAGGATGAACTCCTTTAACTTGACCATATTTGGGAAGCACTTTATCTGCCCTTTCATTCTAAGTGATAACTTTGCTGGATAGATAATCTTGGGTGTAGGTCCTTGCCTTTTATCACTTTGAATACTTCTTTGCAGCCCCTTCTTGCCTGCAAGGTTTCTTTTGAGAAATCAGCTCACGGTCTTATGGGAACTCCTTTCTAGTTAACTATCTCCTTTCCTCTTGCTGCTTATAAGATTTTCTCCTTATCTTGAATCTTGGGTAATGTAATTATGGTGTGCCTTGGTGTGTTCCTCCTTGGGTCCAACTTCTGTGGGACTCTCTGAGCTTCCTGGACTTCCTGAAAGTCTATTTCCTTTTCCAGATTGGGGACGTTCTCCTTCATTATTTTTTCAAATAAGTTTTCAGTTTCTTTCTCTTCCTCTTCTCCTCTGGCACCCCTATGATTCCGATGTTGGAATGTTTAAAGTTGTCCTGGAGATTCCTAAGCCTCTCCTCATTTTTTTTTTTTTTTAATTCTTATTTCTTCATTCTGTTCTGATTGAATGTTTTTTTTTCTTCCTACTGGTCCAAACCATTGATCTGAGTCCCGGTTTCTTTCCTGTCAGTGTTGGTTTCCTGTACATTTTTCTTTATTTCATTTTTCATAGCCTTTACTTTTTCCTCTATTTTGTCACCATACTCAACCAATTCTGTGAGCATCCTGATTATTGAACTGTGCATCTGATAGGTTGGCTATCTCTTCATTGCTTATTTGTATTTTTTCTGGAACTTTGATCTGTTCTTTCATTTGGGCCATATTTCTTTGGGCACACATGTTATGTTGTAAGTGGCAGAGGCTTAGGTATTTGCCAGGGTGGGGCAATCCATGTGGCTGTGATGTGGTGCTATCTGTGGGGGAGGGGTCTAAGAGGGAACAATGCCACTTGCTCAGCTCTTGGAAGTTTTTCAGTCACCTCCCCAGCTACCCACAAGTAAATTGCACCCTTCTGGTGCTGATTCCCAGGTGAATGGGTTTGTGTACATTCTAGGACCCTGTGGCTCTCTCCAACAAACTCTCCTGTGAGGCAGGGAGTTTCTGCCACTGCCACAACCCCCACAGATTTACAGTCAGAGGTTTTGAGGCTTTATTTCCTGGTGCTGGAACCCTGGGTTGCTCGGTCTGTTTCACTCCCCAGTTGTTCCTCCTGATTCATCTTCAGGCAGTTGTGGGACTGCCTAGTCTAGCATCTGCTTCCTTGCTGTGTGACCTCTCTGCCCATCTGCTCTGCCTCTCCTGCCGGTTCGGATGAATGTTTCTTTAACTCTTTGGTTGTTGGACTTCCATACATTTCTATTTTCTGGCAGTTACTTTTTTTTTTCCATGTTTAAATTTGTTGTTGTCTTTCTTTTGGTTGTGTGAGGAGGCAGAGTGTACCTACCTATGCCTCCATGTTGTCTGGAAGTCATTTGTGTTTGGAATTGTTTGCTGTTTACTCTTCTTTGTATGTTTGTATATCAGCCACTTCAGTCAGGATACTGAATAGTTCCTTATCACAGGGTCCCTGTGTATTGCCCTTTTATAACACCTGGGTATCTTCGAGCACTTTATTTTTCCTCCCCTATCTCTAATTTCTGGCAAACAATAATTGTTCCTCCATTCCTAAGATTTTGTCATTTCAAAAATGTTATGTAAATGAAATCATACATTTGAGATTCACTGTTTTTACTCAGTGTAATTCCTTTGAGATTCATCCAAGTTTGTTTGAATCAACAGCTTATATTTTCTTTTTATTATTTATTTTTTTACATTTGTTAGAAAACTCTTATGTAGCTTAAAACTTAGTTTCTACTTTGTTTTCTCCTATATTTATTTTTAAAATAAATATATTTGTCTTAAATCTAGGTGACAAAACACGACCACCTTCCTCAAGCCCCTCTACTATTATTCGCCGCACTTCCTCTCTGGATACACTTGCTGCTCCATACCTTGCAGGGCAGTGGCCTCGTGATAGTCATGGGCAAGTTGCTCCTTGCATGAGAGACAAATCTACACAGGTAGGTGTATTAAAGTTTTTATCCTGGAATGTTTTACTCTGAAACCTTTTCTTTTCTCTCTTTTCCTTTCTTTTCCTTTCTTTTCTTTTCCTTTCCTTTCCTTTCCTTTCCTTTCCTTTCCTTTCCTTTCCTTTCCTTTCCTTTCCTTTCCTTTCCTTTCCTTTCCTTTCCTTTCCTTTCCTTTCTTTTCCCCTTTCCTTTCCTTTCCTTTCCTTTCCTTTCCTTTCCTTTCCTTTCCTTTCCTTTCCTTTCCTTTCCTTTCCTTATTTTTTCCTTCCCTTCCCTTCCCTTCCTTCCCTTCCCTTCCCTTCCTTCCCTTCCCTTCCCTTCCCTTCCCTTCCTTCCCTTCCCTTCCCTTTCCTTCCCTTCCCTTCCTTCCCTTCCCTTCCCTTCCTTCCTTCCCTTCCCTTCCTTCCCTTCCCTTCCCTTCCCTTCCCTTCCCTTCCTTCCCTTCCCTTCCCTTCCCTTCCCTTCCCTTCCCTTCCCTTCCCTTCCCTTCCCTTCCCTTCCTTCCCTTCCCTTCCTTCCCTTCCTTCCTTCCTTCCCTTCCTTCCCTTCCCTTCCCTTCCCTTCCCTTCCCTTCCCTTCCCTTCCTTCCCTTCCCTTCCCTTCCTTCCCTTCCCTTCCCTTCCCTTCCTTCCCTTCCCTTCCCTTCCCTTCCCTTCCCTTCCTTCCCTTCCCTTTCCCTTCCCTTCCCTTCCCTTCCCTTCCTTCCTTCCCTTCCCTTCCTTCCTTCCCTTCCCTTCCCTTCCTTCCCTTCCTTCCCTTCCCTTCCCTTCCCTTCCCTTCCCTTCCCTTCCCTTCCTTCCCTTCCCTTCCCTTCCTTCCCTTCCCTTCCCTTCCCTTCCCTTCCCTTCCCTTCCCTTCCCATTTATTTTTAGAGAGAAGGAGAGAAGCATCAATGTGTGATTGCCTCTCGTGCACCCCCTACTGGGGACCTGGCCTGCCCCCCAGGTATGTGCCCTGACTGGGAATTGAACCAGTGACCCTTTGCTTTGCAGTCTGGCTCTTGATCCACTGAGCCATACCAGCCAGGGTTGAAACCGTTTCTTATAGTATTATTAATCTAGTCTGTGATCAAAATTCTTAAGACATTAGTGTGTATTGGAATAACCTGAGAAGCTTATCAAAAGTGCAGATTCATTCCCATCCATGACATCCAGATATCTTGTAGTAGATTTTGGTTGAGGCTTGGGAATGTGCACTTTAAAATAATTCCCAAAGTAATTCTCATTCATGTGCATAATTTATGGATATACCCTTCTCTTGCTTGTTCTTTTTTTCTCTAATTTTATTTTAATCATTGTTCAAGTCTGCTTATTCTTTATAGTTTAGAATATTACCATATTTTAATATGGAATTTGGACTTAAAAATTTGTAAGAATAAGAATTACTTTACTTTGCACCTAATTTTATCTAGCAGGTTCTTTATTACTGTTCCGTTATAATGTTGATTAGATGTTGTAGAAACTTAACTCTTGTTTATATCAATTAGGCTATGGTAAAATTGGTTTTGTTAAACGTCATTTCACTTAAAGTCACAGGACCTGTTTGACATTAAGTGAATGCATAACTGCATTTTTGTGTTAAAAATCTTTATGTGTTGGTAGATGGAGATTACATTACTTTGCTAAGACTATAAATGTGAATATCCTAAAAAGGGACTCTGGAAGCAAAGTTTTAGACTTTTAGATTTATAATTTTTTTTTACTAAAGGTTCCTAAATTATTTAGACCTGAGTTTTGTTTTGAGGAAGTTTAGGTCCAAGAGCATGAAGCCAGTTCATGACTACATCTTACTTTCGTATAGTTTCTTTCATAGCATCTATTATTACAATTAATTACATATTTGTGTAATTATTTAATGTATTTTAAACTCATTAGATGGTGAATAGGCAGGCAGGAACTGTCTTGTTCATTTCTATATTTTCATCCCTGGGACTTAGTACTGTACTTGACATAATAAGTACTGAAGCAGTATTTGCAAAGGAATGGATGAGCAGAAGAACAATTAAAACTTTATTGCTAGTGAAGAATGAAAATCACTTAAAGAATTAAAAGATTCTAGCCCTGGCTGGCGAAGCTCAGTGGATTGAGCGCGGGCTGGGAACCAAAGTGTCCCAGGTTTGATTCCCAGCCAGGGTACATTCCTGGGTTGCAGTCCATAACCCCCAGCAACTGCACATTGATGTTTCTCCCTCTCCCTCTCCCTCTCCCTCTCCCTCTCCCTCTCCCTCTCCCTCTCTCTCTCTCTCTCTCCCCTCCCTTCCCTCCCTAAAAAAAATAAATAAATAAAATCTAAAAAAAAACTGGTGTTACCTGTGAAAAGTTAAAAAAAAAAAGAATTACAAGATTCTTTATACTGATTGTTAAAAATCAACTAAGTTACATCTCCTTTTAGACTTAAAATTTATACACTGATTGTTGCTTGATCCCAGAACTTTAATGGAGACTGTTTCTGTTGGATTCCCTCATGTATTTATGCTAGTTAATTCCCTCATGTATTTATGCTAGTCAGTCAGGTTTATAAAATTTGGGAAAATATATGTAACAGAATTTGTCATTTTGAAGTATACAATTTAGTGGCATTAATTACAGTCATAATGTTGTGCAACCATCACCACTGTCTACTTCCAGAACTTCTTTATTGCCTCAAACAGAAACCCTCTAACTCTCTGCCATTTCTCCAGCTTCTGGTAACCACTGTTCAACTTTCTGTTTCTATGAATCTGCCCATTCTAGATATTTATACAATATATTGCCCTTCTGTATCTAGGTCATTTTGCTTAACATAATGTTTCAAGGTTGATCCATGTTGTAGCGTATATCAGAACTTCATCTTTTTTATAGCTAAGTAGTATTCCATTGCATGGAAATACCACATATTCTTTACTCATCTATCTGTTAATGCACATTTGGGTTGTTTACAAATTCTGGCTATTGTGAACCATGTTGAAATGAACACTGGTGTACAGGTATCTGTTTGAATCTCTGCTTTCAGTTTATTTTGGTAAGTACCTAGGCATGAAATTGCTGGATCATATATTTAGCTTTTAGAGAAACTGCCAAATTATTTTACATAGCAGCTGCACCATGTTACTGAGAAGATATTATCTATGGGGCAACCCATTATCCCAATTCTGTCTCTACTCTATAAAGCATTATTAAACATTCTCCAATTTTTTTTTGTTGTGTTTTGCCCTTGGAATCTAAAGTACACATTGTTGGTTTAATCTCCATTTATGGGTCATGGAAGTCTGAACAGACTTCCTCTCTAAAATATGAATATTTGATTTAGTTATTGCAATTTTCCCCACATTGGAATATGTGCTAAAGTGTTATTCTTCTGTTTCCATGTATTCTTTAAAAATGTGGTATTGTTTGATGTGTACAACTTTAATTTCAACAGAAGGTATTACACTGTACAATTCATTTATTAACAATTTATTCAGCATTCTTTTAAAGACCTTCTAAATTACTCTGTGTCTATTCTGTTATTCTGCCTGCTGCATAGAACCCCATAGTTTGCATCTACCTCATATTACTCAGGTGTTCCCAGAGGGGTGAACATCCAGCATGCTTCCAACACCTCACTACCATTCAAATGCTGTGGAAAACACCTTTATATATGTTCCTCGTGGATCTGGGTACATATTTTCTATTATGCATATTCAGAAGTGGGATCATAGGGTCAACATGTACATCATTAGACAGAGTATTGCCACAAACTCTCCAAAGTTACTTCACCACTGTTAATGCATGGGGATTTCCATCTCTTCCACATCCCTGCAAATACTCAGTTTCTGTAGCTTTCTGATTTTGCTAATCTGATGGTGTAAAAGGAGATCTTATATTAATTTGCATTGCTCTGATTACTAGTGAGTTTAAGCACAACTTTAGTTGAAACAATAATTATATGTATGCTTTATTTATTAATCTGTTTAACTCAGCACTCTTTAAAGACCATCACATATTACTCTTTGTATAAATGTATGAAATATAAAAATACATTTTATTTTTAGCATTCCAAGTACTTCCCTCAATTTCCCACACATTAATTTTTTTTATAGAAGAGAAAGCCTTAATTTTATAAAGTAAAATTCAACAATTTTCACTTTTAATTTTAATTATATTTTTAATCCATTGATTTTATACAGTTTGTGGTACAGAAGCAACAATATACAAAAGAGTAGAACAGTAGTTTGTGCTGCCCGCCTCCAACCTGGACATGCCCATTCCTATCCTCAAAGAGGTAGAAAAACCAGAACCCTGTCTGGTAGGATTTGACTTAGTGACAGGTCCCAGGGAGGAGCCAACCCTTAGAAGTCAAGAACAGGAACAAGGGGCATAAATACATTTAGGGCCTACTGGTTAACTGGAATGGGTATGTGTGTGTGGAGAATGGGGGAAGAATACACCATAGGCCATTTCTAAATAAGACTCTAGAATTTTATAATAATTTTGGAATTTAGTTTGAGAACTAGTTCTTCACTAATAGGTCATAAAAATATCTGGCTATATTATATTCTGCTAACTTTGGAGTATTATTTTTTGCATTCAGGACTTGTAAATAAACCTTTGCTCTTCTATTTCAAAAAGGGTATAGATCTTTGTAATCATTTATTATACCATGTAATACAAAAAATAAGTCCACTAATTTTCTAAAAAAAAAAAACCCAGCTAAAATTTCATTAGAAATTTATAGGTTATAGAGTAATTTACAGAGACATGTTTTTATAATAGCAACTGATCCTGTGCCACTTCAATTAATCAGAGATACTTTTGTAATTTTTAGAATTTCTCTGTAGAATTCCTGTATATTCTTTCTTTAGCTAATATTTAGCTATTATATAGATTGTGTTGCTATTATAAATGGTGTCATTTTGTTTGTTGCTTGTATAAAAATGGGCTGTTGCCCTGCCTGGTGTAGCTCAGAGTGTTGAGCACGGGCCTGCGAACCAAAGGATTGCTGGTTCGATTCCCAGTCAGGGCACATGCCTG